TTTCACTCTCTTTAATATGTCAAACACTTCACCAAGCATCACCAATGAAGAGCTCTGGGTTTCTAATACTGAGCTCAAAGCCCAAGTAGAGTACTTGGCAAAACAGGTTGCTCAACTCACTAAGTTAAAAATGAACTTGGTGAACACTCCGGAAGAAAGTGATGAAGAAAAAGAAGAAGCTCAACTAGAAGCTGATTTTTGTCACACTACTAGAGGAACTACACAAGAAAAGGGAGCTACTGATTTTAAGGTTGACATACCAACCTTTGAAGGAAAGAATGATCCGGACGACTTTCTAGAGTGGCTGGAAACAGTTGAGCGTGTCTTTGATTTCAAAGATGTGCCCGAAGATAAGAAAGTCAAGATCGTGGCGTTGAAGTTCCAAAAGTATGCGTCCACTTGGTGGTCCAATCTTTCCACCAAAAGAAGGCGTGAAAACAAGGCTCCGGTGAAAACTTGGTTCAAAATGCGGAGCTTGTTGAAGAAGAAGTTCTTGCCCGAACAATACGTACGAGACAACTTTGCTAAGCTACAACACTTAAGGCAAGGTACCCGGTCTGTTGAGGACTATACTCGGGAGTTTGAAGAGCTCTTGATGAGATGTGATCTCCAAGAAAATGATTCTCAAACGTTAGTCCGATATCTATTTGGACTTAACACCCAAAGCAAGCCAAACCACTACCCGAGCTCCCAAGTGTTTCCGTTGTCAAGGGATAGGTCATTATGCCAATGAATGTCCTAATAAGAAAATAATGGCCATTGTTGAGTATGAAGAAGAAAAAATCAGTCCCTCGTGGGCTGAAGAAGAGCTTGAAGAAGAAGAATGTATCGGAGCAGACGAAGGAGAACTCTTGGACATCCGTAGGACCTTGAGTAGCATAGCTGGTCCCGATGATCAACTACAACGGGAAAACATCTTCCACACCCGTTGTACAATTCAAAAGAAGGTGTGTTCTTTGATTGTGGACAGCGGAAGTTGCACCAACGTGACATCCAAAACGATGGTAGAAAAGTTGAAACTCAAGACCTCACCACACCCAGAACCATACACGATTCAATGGTTGAATCATGGGAAGGGGTTACGTGTGGATTCTCGGAGTTTGGTTTCCTTAAGTATCGGAAAAACTTATTCCGATGAAATCTGGTGTGACATCATTCCAATGGACGCTTGCCATATCCTCTTGGGCCATCCTTGGTTATTTGATCGAAAGGTGTTCCATGACGGATATGCTAACACATATTCGTTCCTTATCAACAAAAAGAAGATCACCCTCACCCCTCTCCCACCTTCCTCACCTACGGCCCCCTCCTCTCCAAAAGAAGAACCCCCCATCCTTCTCTCCACCATATATTACAAGCTGAGCATCATGAATTTAAAGCCCAAAAGGAACTTATCCTTTTTGAAGAAGCTGAAACCAAACCCCTGCCCTCACCTTCACCTCCGCATCCATTAGTCAAACCCATCCTTGAACACTTCTCTCATGTCTTCCCTGAAGATGTTCCTCACGGCCTTCCTCCTAAAAGGGACATCCAACACAAGATTGATCTCATCCCGGGGGCTGCCTTACCCAACAAACCAGCTTATCGCATGAATCCAGAGGAAACTAAAGAAATCCAAAGGCAAGTAGATGAATTACTAGCCAAAGGATTTGTAAGGGAAAGCTTGAGTCCATGTGCTGTTCCGGCTCTTTTAGTGCCAAAGAAAAATGGCACTTGGCGTATGTGTTGTGATAGCCGTTCGATAAACAAGATTACTATCAAGTATAGGTATCCCATACCTAGGCTTGAGGACATGCTAGATGAGCTCCATGGTTCTAAGATCTTTTCTAAGGTCGATCTAAGAAGTGGCTACCACCAGATTCGAATCTATGAAGGAGATGAATGGAAGACGGCGTTCAAAACCAAATTTGGGCTTTACGAGTGGCTGGTCATGCCATTTGGGTTAACCAATGCCCCAAGCACATTCATGAGACTTATGAATCAAGTTTTAAAGCCATTCATAGGTCACTTTGTCGTGGTCTACTTTGACGACATTCTAATCTATAGCCGGAGCGAAGATCATGTTAATCACCTTACTTTGGTGATTAAGAAGTTAGACGAAGAGAAGCTATACGGGAATCTTGAGAAGAGCCAATTCTTTTCTCAGGAAACGGAGTTCTTGGGATACTTTATCTCGAGTGAAGGAATCAAAGTCGATGAAAAGAAGACTCAGGCCATAAGGGATTGGCCCGTTCCCACGTCAATGCAGCAAGTTAGAAGTTTTCATGGACTTGCATCTTTCTACCGGCGATTTGTGAAGGATTTCAGCACCATAACTGCCCCCCTCACGGATTTGACGAAAAATCAGAAGTTCGAATGGAATCCTAAAGCCCAACAAGCCTTCGAAGCAATCAAGGAACGCTTAACGCATGCTCCCGTGTTAGCCCTTCCTAGTTTTGAGAAACTATTCGAGGTTGAATGTGATGCCTCGGGAGTTGGCATAGGGGCTGTCCTATCCCAAGAAGGAC